CAGACTCCGGGGTGGGAGCAGTCCTTTCCCAGCGTTCCACTGGAGATCAAAGGATTCATCCTTGTGCCTTCCTTCTCTCACCGTCTGTCACCTGCTGAGGTTAATTATGACATTGGTAACAGAAACTTTTGGCTGTAGTTTTTGGCCTTGCAGGAGTAGAGGCACTGGCTGGAGGGTGCAGAACATCCTTTCATTGTTTGGACAGACCACAAAAATCTGTCATATCTCCGTTCTGCCAAGAGGCTCAACTCCCGACAGGCTAGATGGGCTCTGTTCCTGGGAAGGTTCAACTTTGTTCCTAACCTACCGTCCTGGTTCTCGGAATATAAAGCCAGACTCCTTATCTCGTCAGTTCTCTCCTGATGTCTCTGAGTCTCTGCCTGAACCCATCCTGCCTGCCACATGTGTGATTGACAGTCCAGCTAATTCATCCGAGGTTGCTCCATCCACTTCCCTGGTTGCATCTATTCATTGGGAGATTGAAAGAGTGGTTCGTGAGGCTCAGCAAAACCAACCTGCCCCAGAACACTGTCCGCCTAACTCACTTTTTGTGCCGGAGTCGGTGCGAGCTCAGGTTCTCCAGTGGGGGCATAGTTCTAAACTTACGTGTCACCCTGGTTTCCACCGGACCTTAGCTTTTCTTAAACAGAGATTCTGGTGGCCGTCTATGAGCAAGGACACTCAATCTTTTATTGCTGCCTGTACTACCTGTGCCCGAAGCAAGTCTAATCATCAGGTTCCCTCTGGTCTCCTCAACCCCTTGCCTATTCCCAGCCGACCATGGTCCCATATAGCCATAGATTTTGTCACTGGACTCCCAGACTCTGATGGTAATACAGTTATTCTCACAATCGTGGACCGCTTCTCTAAGGCAGTGCATTTTATTTCCCTCCCCAAACTGCCAACTTCCACTGAAACTGCTAACCTTTTGGTTCTTCATGTATACAGGCTCCACGGCATACCTACCGATATTGTCTCAGACAGAGGGCCACAATTTACGTCACAGGTATGGAGGGCATTTTGCCAGGCCTTGGGAACCTCAATCAGTCTTTCATCAGGGTACCACCCTCAATCTAATGGTCAGACAGAACGGACCAATCAGGACCTTGAGACAGCCCTGCGCTGCGTCACCGCCCGTAACCCAGCCACATGGAGCACATATTTGCCCTGGATCGAATATGCCCACAACTCCCTTGTATCCTCTGCCACAGGTATGACTCCATTCATGGTGTCCTTGGGTTTCCAACCTCCTCTCTTCCCAGATCAAGAGGAGGATGTGGCGGTTCCATCAGTCCAGGCTCATGTAAGACGCTGTCGCCATGTTTGGAGGGCTGCTCGAGCTGCTCTGCAGCGTACGGCAACTCGCAATCAGCGATTCGCCGATAGACATCGGAAGCAATCTCCTCCCTACCAGCCTGGACAAAAGGTTTGGCTGTCAACCCGTGACCTTCCCTCTGCAAGTGGAGTCTAAGAAACTAGCACCTAAGTTCATTGGCCCATATGTCATTGAGAGTGTGATAAATCCTGCTGTTGTGCGTCTTAAGTTGCCCTCCTCCCTGAATATTCATCCTTCATTTCACGTGTCTCTCCTCAAGCCAGTGTCATCCTGTCCTCTCAGCCCTCCAGCCGATCCCCCTCCTCCCACCCGAGTCGTCGATGGTTACCCGGCCTTTACTGTGAGTCGGATTCTTGATGTTCGGCGCCGTGGAAGGGGTTTTCAGTATCTGGTCGACTGGGAGGGATACGGCCCAGAGGAGCGCTCCTGGATTCCCCGCAGCAATATCCTGGATAAGTCCCTCCTCCGGGACTTCTACAGGGCTTTCCCAGACAAGCCTGGTAAGACGTCTGGAGACGTCCGTTAGGGGGGGGGGTACTGTCATGGCTGGTGCTCCCCTCCCTGTGTGTGTGTGTTTGGGCGGAGTCTCCTGGTCCTGATTCATCGCACCTGCAAGCAATCAAGAGCCACTACTTGACACCTGCTCACCTGTGAGACTCTGCCAGATTGTTCCTACCTGCACACGGTGAACCTCTTGGCTCCTAGATTCTACGTTTTTGCTGCTTGCCTTTTGCCAAACATTTTTCTTACTTGCGTTCTCTGCCCTTCAGTCCAGCCCTGCCTTCTCAAGCCCTGCTCCAAGCCCTGCTCCAAGCCCTGCTCCAAGCCCTGCTCCAAGCCCTGCTCCAAGCCCTGCTCCAAGCCCTGCTCCAAGCCCTGCTCCAAGCCCTGCTCCAAGCCCTGCTCCAAGCCCTGCTCCTGCCCTGCTCCAAGCCCTGCTTCTGCCCTCATTTTGCCCTTTGTAAAATAAATTCTCCTTTTCCATTTTTTTAACCGGTCTGAAGTCCATTTTTGGGTCCCTCCATTGTTGCGCCATAACACCCAAGTCTCAGTTAGAAGACCCTTCATCAGCACTTGTGTTCACTACTTAACACACTCTAAATGTGCAGTGAGAATCCTTTTTAGTGTTATGAGTGCAGAAAGTAGAGTCTATTCATTTCGAAAGAACATTTTTTGTATACACTTTATTTTTGAAAGCTCTTGATGGGTGCTAATATGAACAAAGAATTCATTACTGCTTGGTACTGCCCATTGTGGCTTTCAGTGTCTATGTCTCTATTTTAGTACACTGTAAAAAAAAATCCGTCGTTTTTACAGGAAAACGCTGGCAGCTGGGGTTACCAGAGCTTTCCTGTAAAAAATACAGTAATACAGTTAACTTTACTGAGAACAATGTAAATCAGTTTACGGTTTTTGAAATCACGGTTGAATCACATTTAAAATCTGAAATCTACACAAAAGTTAATTTTGCATAACCGTGTCGTAAATAAATAGACACCTTCCTGTATTTTTAACATGAAAAAAATGCTTATTATACATCCTTTCCTGTATTTTCTACATAAATGTTTTTTGTGCACTGATTTCTTGTCAAATTAACAGGGAAATATTTCACAAAAAAACAGTTTAAGCTGGCAAAACGACAGTAAAAGTTTATATTTTAAATTAAGCTTTTCTGTAAATTTTACATAAAATCTACTCATAAACGCAGTATTTTTATGTTTAAATAATACAGTTGAACTGTAAAAATTACCTGTTAAACCTGCAAGATCATAAATTCTACTGCTACTACTGTAATCATTACCAAAACATGCAATAATACATGACAAGAAAAATATCACTTAAAACATTTATTTAACAGTCTCAATATAGTAACAAGTTGTAAACAATTAGATTTTTTTCAGCATATAGAACAAAAATTGCATTCAAAGAAACCACTGAATCGAAGTTCGAAGATAGCCTCATTATTGCAGAATTTTTTTCAGTTACTCAAACAATGCATTCTCATGGTGTTGTTTTAACAATATCAAGCATGTGACTGATTTTCAGCTGAACTAAATTAACACTCATTGATCTACAGGTCTATTGAATGAGTCATTTTACAGTATTGGGCTTTCCCTTAAAACAAGTTTCAAGTGCCAGGCACACAACCAAATTAAAATTGTGTTTACTTGCTAAAACATAACTCTTAAAATGACTTTAAAATTAACATTTACAACCCTCATGCTCTCCTGGGGGTCACAATGTCCCGAAGAATTGTTTTTTTTCCCTTCCTGCTCTCTTGGAGCGGGTCTATCAGACCCAAAAATTTATTTTCAAATAAATTCTCGCCAGGCGAGAAAATACATTTTGGGGTTTGACTGACCCGCACCAAGAGAGAGGAAAGGAAAAACCGTTTTTTTTTTTTCTTCAGGTCAATGTGACCCCGAGGAGAGCATGATGGTTAAATCAATGACATATTATGCCTTAATTAACATAAATCACACTGTAGATTTAACAAAGCAAAAACTTCCGGTACCTCTTCTCAAAAGAACACAGAGTCCAAAGAGATTCCAAAGACTCCATCAGACAGTCCATGTTTATCCTTCCCGCCACTCGTGATCAGAGAGTTCTTGTATCAGGGTGAGGACTCGAGGGTTTACATTGAGACGACGCTTTGAGTTTTTACTCTCCACTTTGGTTCCTTTTTCCGGGTTTATCAAGAAAAAACACCTATAAAATAAAATATTGCATATTAAACATTTTTATTCATCAGAATAAAATAAATAAACTACAAAATATATTTTCGAATAAAATGAATGTTTTATAACACAAATCTGTCATTTTAGGTCCCAGAGTAGCAGTCCCAGCCCAGGACTGAAGTCAGACCCAGAGTAAAGTCTGGGTCTGAGTCCAGGTATCAATCTCAGTATTAAGAAATGTGTAAGCCATATTTACTCACCTTTGAAAGAAACTCAAGAGTTGAAGCCAGCTCAGATGGATAATGGATGTTAAAACAATAGTAGCTCCCAAACATCAGGCACAATGCAGAAATGAAGGAGGAGATGTTTGTGTTGATAAGGTTCTGATCCAGACTCAGCATGTACCTCGTTGAAGAAAAGCATGATGTTCCTATGAATACAATATTAAACAGGGTATTTTAATAAACACCACACACATGACAAAT